CAGGGACACATATATTTAAAATTTGTCACCCTGGTAAATCTCCTATACTAAAACTCTGATAAATATATGTATACAAGAAGATCAGATAATCATCTTCTTTAAATAATGGGGCACATATATGCATGTTATCTGATATTACCGAAGCTTGATCAGTAGCTAATAATACCATTAATTATATTATAAGTCGAACAGGGCATATAGTAGAAAAATGTTTGAGATGAAAACTTTAAGCGACAGATTGATGGTAACATCAATTTTTTATTTCGCTTATAGGATCAGCGTCACATAATGTTCAAAAGTAAAGGAAAAATAAGTGACTTTCGCAGGAGCCCGGAATTGCCATCTTACGCAAGAGTCTTGTACTGCCGCTGACGGCACTTTGATTACTACGCCTTTAGTTTCGTACGACATACTACTGCGAATCTCGATATTCGTCTAAGGTCCATCTATACGCTGTTGATTAAATTGCTTTAATTAACTTATTTAAAATAGCACAGTCTTATTGCATTTATATTTGATCGAAATGTAAAATACTTCAACTGACAAACATTAATAAGCTCTTTCAAAAACTTCATGTAATAACAGAGTTGCATCACATAGAAATTTATCATCAAGTTGTAAATAAATCATGTGCGCGATATTTCACTGAGCATATATGTACGACAGGAAAAAAATAAAGAGCAAGCGGATGTAAGCTTTCAGCGTTCGCATTCTCATCTCGATCCACAAAGTAATAACGTTAATGCACTTCTGGCAATATAGCTGCTTCCCGAAATATTTTCGACGATCCACTCGCACCCACACACCACAAGCCGTTTGACCCAAATGTTATGCACTCTTCGCTAACGGATTTTTATTTGATCTGTAAAAGACAGGGAGTAAAAAGAATGTTCTCTTCTCGCTACGCTTCATTAGATCTATGAGTCAAAGCCTTTGCATTTTTCTTTCAAGAGACTCTTGATAAATTGCAATCGGGATGCGATGAGTACGCTACCTTGCTTATGTCGAGTCGAAACGCAGGAGGACGACGACAGTTCCGAAGTAGTGCAAACAAAAGTTACCCCGTACACGCGGAATTTAGTGAATGGCTCGACTATACATATAACGCGTACATGCTTTTTGCCCGTATCTCGCAGCTACTCGCTATTGTACTGCAATTCTCCACGAGTTACGTTTGATACGATGCTACTATTTTAACTACTATCTATTTGTCAAAAACTTGCTACGCTCGCATTCATCTCATTTCGTGTATCTCAAAGTTTAGTTTTTGGATCATCAACAAACGTGCGATAAAGTTACAGTTTATCTAGGAGGTCAATTAGTTAAAAAATATTTATCGTAAACGAAGGAAATAAAAAACAATAACGTAACTACAGATAGCGTATATTAAAACAATATTAGCTCGTGCCAATGCCTCGGTAGACATCGCGTGCTGCGTCGATCTAACCAAGCCGATAGGGCAATGCTCTGAAGTTCAGACACGTGGGACACGTAGTAGTGGTGTTCGCTATTTGTTATATTTTATGCGCTCTTTCACCCAAAGAGAGAAAGAAGCACTTTCATTAATCAAACGTAGGCCTTGTACATCGTAGCTCTCTCGCGAGCATTTTTCACTTGTCCCTCTCAGTTAGTGTCTTACATGTATGTGAGTTTGCGCGATTGCTTGCGTAGATAATACCAGACCCTCTATAATTTTTATTGTCAGGTGTATTTTATTTATTGACCGATGGATTTGTGAATATTATACACGCGTGATTTCTCTTTTTGTTTAGGAAATTCGAGTTTTCGATTGTTGATGTTTCAAATTTCCGATGGAAAAATATCGTTGATTGGTATTTCTGAATTATAGACAATCGCTTTATTATATCGAGGTGTATATTGGTTTATTTATTTTGAAGTAGAATAGTCGACGAACATTGAGACGTAAGTATGAAATACAATCAATAGTGCAGTTGTTATAATTTTAATTAAAATATGTAATATCTAAGAAGCTAAAACTACATTTACATTATAAAATCGTGCTTATCAACGAAGAAACATATAGTACGTGTCGTGAGGAAGAAAGAACGGGTCAAACTTGGACGGTTCAAGTTTTTTGCTTCCATAGAAGCAACAGAAGCATTCCGTTTTTGTTATTTTGTTTCTCTGTCTGTCTCTCTCTCTCTCTCTCTCTTTCTCTTTCATTCTCGCGCACGTCCATTTTTCATGTGTTTTCCTTCAGCAATTTCGTACGTAATAACGTTCGATCAGTTTGCCCATGAATTGGTTATGTAAGCAGCTCATAGCGAGTCGTCTATCTTCGCTGTCGAAGGAATTCGGTGCGTGGAATGTCGTGTGCACCACCACGCCATGAGCGAACGTGATTGCACCACAAGCAACGAAGAAAAAAGTAAGCGCCTGTGTATCTCTCTCGGGAATAACCTGCTTTTAAAGGCTTTCTTTCGTATTTGTTTTTCGCTGGCATTGTATTTTTTCAATTTATGTTTTATTCATCTTTGATATTATTCTTTCGAGTATCCGATGAAAACTATTGTTTGAAAAAACATTGCATTCTACGTAAACGTTCCACGTTCGTTCAATTATCGGCAATCAATATATTTTGCCTGTCAAATTGATTGATGAATTTTGAAAATGATCAAAAAGTTATTTTCATGCGATAAAATACGATTGGAAAATTGCAGGTACATAGTAGCTGCAGCCTCGCGCGATGTAATTTCACATGTGATGCCATGATGAAACTTTACAGGAGGGAACGAAACGAGTGAACAAAAGCAGAAAGTTTCTTGCAGTCGTTAAAATATATACCAAAATCCCTTTGATCGAGCAACTGCAAGGCTATGTAGAGAGCTGCGAATACAAGTGTGTGTGTTACATGGCTGCCGCGCACTTGAAATTCCAGAGAACCTCCCCCTTTACCAAGTCACACACGCGAAAATGACCTGTCAAAGGAATAGTCGCATGACCGCGGGCAACAGCAGCACATATACACCCACTTCTCTCCGTTCCGACTCTCGCTGCTGCACCAATTTTTTTTTGTTTTGTTCCTGTTTTTATTTTTCTTATTCCTTTTTTCCTCTTACTAACGCTCGTTTTCCCGTGTCCAACCGTCTGTTGCGCGGGCTGTTTTCGCTCTTATGGAATACTGACTGCACATTCAGACATTGTGGCAAGGCGCGCGTCTCTTTTCAAATTCCTTGCGCCATTTTCCCGTGGGTGAAATTTGCATTTGAATTTGAGGTTGGAGGCCGAGAGAGAGAGAGAGAGAGAGAGAGAGAGAGAGAAAGCTGGCGCTAATCGCTAAATAGGGTTTCGCGAAGTGGCAGCCCGAGGGAGCGCGCGCGCGAAACCGCAAACTCCACGGGGTGATAAGGCGCGTTCTCCAAATCCCCTCTGGCATGCCATCCGTCTCTATCGTTCTCTTTTACTCTCCAGTTTGTGGGTATCCCTTTTTTGCTAGAAATTCGCGCCACTTGACCGTCGCCGGAGAGTGATTTTGAAAAAGATGGAAAGAGATAACTGCCGCGCGTATATATTCGGAGCACACCGGGCCAAAGCGATTTTTTGCGTTTCCCGGTTGTGGATACGATGCTCTTCCACCAGCCAGCACAAGAGTAAAAAAGACGATCGACATGAATATTGATGCATTGAAAGCTTTTCTCAGTACTCTACGAATTTGAGGTTTTTTCGTAGCATCGCTCGGCTACACGTCATAATAGAATTATTCGATTCTTATAGTATAATTCTGCAATCGAAACGAGATGACTATTAATTTGCGTATTTTAACACGCTACTCGTGACTGATGCAGAAGTAGAAAGGAATATTAACGAAAATTTACTTTACGCAAGTTTCGCCTAGAGTGAAATTTACTTTAGGAAGTCCACGTAAACTTTGCTCGTGCTCGTGCACGGGCGCTTCCAACTTTCCATACGCAGATTCGACTTGACTTTTCTTTCAGCATTAAGATGTATATGCATAGCAAATATCATTTATGCTACTTAAACAAATAAATTCTGAAACTTCACAAATTCAGAAACGAATGCAGAAACAAATTCTGTTTGTGAAAACATTTCACTTTCAAACATCATTCTATCGTCGTTTGTCAGCTCAGTCTACTTCTTATACTACTACTAGCTAGGAAAAATAAGGCAAAGTATACACAGGGTCAAATAATTGAATAAGGAAGTGAAATTGTAGCGAGGCAACTTTCGCATAAGAGCAATGTTTTTCTTCGATTTATCTTGGGGAGTAAAGATTCCGAGCTCGCCGGCTGTTTGGGCTAGAAAAACAGAAATTCATCCGTTCCGTCGCTGTTCCGTGAGCTGCTGGTATCGTCGTATCTCGACAGCCCAAAGATCTTAAGATTGCAGTTGAAAGGTAAAACCGAACTTTCATCAATTATTTTTCTCTTTAAATAATTACATTGCTTTGTCCACATTTTAAACGAAAAATCAATTTGGCTGACTATTCTTAAATTAATCTACTTGAAAAACTTATTCTCGTGCAAGACTTTGTTTATTAACGGTATCCAAGCTTAAAATTTTTAAAACCTTAATTTCTGCTGTGGCAGTACAACGAACCAATATTTAATAAAGATTATTAGTTATAAAAAATAAGTTCTTTGTAAATAAAAAGTTCCCCACAAACTGATGGATCAACCCATGTAAAAGGAAATAAATAACTGCACTAATTTCGATTCGAGGTACATTCAACCGAAAAAATTAAACACGACTTCTTTGAACTACCTCGCAAATAAGACTGTCAATCCAAGTCGGCGGTGTATAAAATATCCCTTATCACGCTATTACACAGAGTCGCCTGGCGCAGCCTTTCAATAGAATGTTTTGTATGTCAATGGTTTGGATCAATATTTGAAATAATATTCCAACTGCACGCCATGCAACAAAGAGAAAAAGCAAAAAGTTGAACGTCAGACAACGTCAAAAAGAGATATGTAAAAGTGTATCGTAATGTTTGACGCGTGTATGTGTGTGTGTTGCAGTACGAGAAGTCACGTTATCCGAGCTAAGGGACTCAGTGGCGAGGTACCGGGACAGAGTTAAGCTCGTGTGTCGAACGAGAGGCTCGCCACCTCCAAGAGTGCACTGGCTCAAGGATGGAGTTCCTTTACAACCGAGGAGAGGTCTTCGAATCCAGCACAAACGGTAAGCTACATCTCACTCTCACCTATTTTATATGTCTTCCTGCTGTTGTTACTATTTACCACGCCTCTGCCTATTCTTCTTCTTCTTCTTCTTTCCTGCCCTTTGCTTTCTACTTCGCCGCGCGACGATCACCCCTTTTCAGCAAAGAAGCCGCCGCGCCCTGGCTCTTTGAGATAATGGCACCCGGAATAAGTGCTTGTTTGCGAATGCAAATATCCAGGCTATGCAAGATGCCAACCCACACCCATCTCCAAGTTTTACGCCATCTACACTTCGAGAGGCCAAGCTACTTGTATCTCCCTTTCTGTACTTTCGGGTTTTCCTTTCTCATTTTTGTTTTGTTTTTGCTTTTGAAAATACATACTTTAGCCATCGACTTAAGATTTTTATGGTTTCCCAAGTAAATTTTCATCGAATGTCAAATTATTATCGAAACGTAGATGCAATTAGTAAACTATTATTTATGAAAATACAGCGTATCGAGTAATTTTTAAACAAAAATGAACAGAAATACGTCTATCAATGAGCTTTGGAAATTGATAATTATATGAAAAAGCAGTGCTCGTTACATAGGTTTACTTGTTATTAACATAATACCTCAAATGTAATTTGCATCTATCCACATGCTCTTACTATTAGTAATCTTAAGAGAAGCGAGAAAGAGAAAGAGCGAGAGAGACTCGATCATCAGTAGTACAAGTCTAGTTAACATGCCACTCAAGAACATCTTTAGAACATCGAAAATCGATGCTCAATTAGTTTAAAAATCATAGACAGATGCGTTGTTATCTCTAGTTTCTCATCCTACTAAGATTTCCTACTTGTGGCTCTGATTTCAGATAGTAATTTACTAGGCTAAGTCTAGAGCAGCTTAGTTTGTTAAGTGCGTATGAAAGTCGATCGTTATTTAAAGCTATCCTACCATCGATCTGTGGTATTTTTATTTTTAAACGATGATTTGCTGCTATATTAAATTTTCATCAGGACGCTTTTTTCGCCATTAACATTTTTGGATTATATGAAAATTGTGTTATTATTCTGAGGAGGAGTAAGCTAGTATTCTTAGCGATTGCAGCTCAATTAAATTAAATTGATGATTAATTCGGTCTTTATGAAGTTTCTCAATTTCGATATTCGGATAATTTCAACTTCAAGAATAAAAATGACCACGTTTATTCAATTGTACTTTTTTGTTGTTGAAAATAACTATTTTTAATTAGTAACAAGTCAAAAACAAAACTAACGGATTTCTTTTTCCACCGTACTAATCTTGATCATCGGACGTTTTAATTATCGCTGAGTAAAAGCACAAGGCAGCGAAATAATTAAGAAATGAAATGTTTTTTTTCTGTTGCCTATCCGTTATCTCGCACTCCTGATTTTCGAAGCTATTGTTGCTTTCTGGAACAGAAGATCGGAAAAAAGGGAGAGGATGATAATGAAAAGTAGTCGCGAACGTGATATAATGCGTGGAGTACGCCAGTGCATGAAAGCGCTAATCATGGCTATGCACGGGCAGCTGCAGATACATCGTGCATTCCTAGTTTGGAAGAGACGGGAACACATGCTTGGATGATCAAACGATGACTCGCACCATTGAGGCGGTCGTGACGATAGCGGTCACGTACCTGCGTGTAACTAGCCGAGCGTTGTCGTTTTATCGCTGTTCTGCTGTACAGTGTTGTTCGAAAGCTACGCACCTCCATTTATCTCTCTTATTGCTTTTCTATTCTCTTTTCCATTTGATTCCCAGTTCCTTTTGTTTTACATCTATCATTTGATTCTGATTGTTTATTTCTCAGATTTGCATAGACATACATTATCGAAAAAGATTCTTAGGATAAAAACGTTTGTATAACAAATCAAATGTAAAATATTACCATTGGCGTAATAATTTTGATATCCGTTAAAAGATTTTATGATAAAATGATTTACTCTGACGGAATAATATTTGAACTTTTACTTATTCGACCATTATGTTTTTTCAAAACTGTTTTTCTCCATTTTGCTTACATCAAGTATCGAATTGATTTTACCTGTAGTATATATCTACATAACATTACTATTAAAACGAATGAAAATAAAATGGCCGGAGGGAAATATCGGGAAAAAGCTTTCTACAAAGAACAACGTTTGCAATATTGGGGAAAAGCTGCCGAATAGCAGTATTATTTAAAAAGCGCGTAAAAGTCTTGGACGCTGGCGCATCAGAATGAAAAACCAAAGTGAACAGCGTACGATAAAAAGGTGCAAGGTCGAAAGTGATAAAAAAAGTCGAGAGAGAGAGAGAGAGAGAGAGAGAGAGAGAGAGAGAGAGAGAGAGAGAGAGAGAGAGAAGCACAGGTACAGAGCATACAGAGGCGAAGCGAACGAGAGTCCAAATTTGCATACGCTCGTCGGTCCATTCCGCATTTTCGCGGCGATAAATATATTTCAAGCTGCGGAATTTCGCCGTACCGAACGTGAAGAGTAAAAAAAACGTGGCTACGACCCAACGTGCGGCACAATATAGGAGTGTGGGTTCGAATAAACGGTGGCCGAATGCAGATTTACGCAAAATAGGATTTCGCATGAGGGGGAGGGATAGCCGGACACTGCACGCGCCACCCCGTTGACAACGGACTCGTCGCTCCACGCAAAACATATAATTTACCGACGCACAAGGCAGGGAGGGGCCTCGGGTTGGCCACTGAATAAACTTGAATTCGCTTTCAGCTGAATCTCTCCCGATGGTCCCGCGTCCCAACGGCCGACGCTACACACGCGCTAACTCTCTTTCGTAATGAAATCAGCCAAATCTCAAACCTCTGCTTTTCACGGTTGAATTATATCAAGATATATTTACTTCTGAAAGCGAGCTTTGCCGTTACTGGCCGGTGTATATCGGGGATTAGTCTTTTAAATGCATTCGATTAATACTAATTTACAAGCCGCTGACGTGTACACGCCCCCCGGCCAAAATTAACTCTGATACCTTCGATACTATCATTTGATCGACTCTAAATTCAATTTAGTCTGATAACAATACAACTTTGGCGTTTACAACTGAAACATATTGTACGTCTTCGGTACAACATCGAATAAAATTCATTATAACTTTAGTTCCAAGCAAAATTTGATCGACAACTGACAATGAGAACATAAGGCAAATGCAATCGAATCATGATTCAGAGCTGTGAATATTAAAAGGACAAAATTCGTACAACTCTGAAAAAATTCATCGAGTAGAATAAGTTCAGCACGGTAAGACAATACATTCGCTATCATCCAAGTTAAGCGGAGAGCAGGGTCTATAAACTCTCGGCTGATGGCACTTGCAGTCTATTATTCTATTCCTATCTCACACGCCGTTATGTCCTTCAGGTCTCTCTCTCTCTCTCTCTCTCTACAACATTTCTGCAAAATCTTTCTTTTTTCATCTGCATATCCCAGTATATCTCTCGCAGCTTGAAGCTGGAAGTACCTATATACAGCCGATTATTATTATTATATTCGGTACGTGCTTTCGCACAATTCGAACTTAGCAGCTCGGAGACCGGAAGAGGCTACTATCTGACGCTCAGATAAAAAGCTTACGTACAAGCTATCGGCCTTTAGCGATAAAAGTGGCAAAAAAAAGGACGGATAAAACAGAGAGGGAGAGAGAGATCATAAAGCCTTGTACAAGCTCGCGCGCAGGTGGGCTAACAACTCGTGGCTTCAATTCTTTTTTTTTTTGTCGCGTTGGTTTTTTTTTTATTTTCACTTTTTTCGGTCGATAATGCCCGGAGATTTATTCGGAGCGCTGGAGAATCACGCTTGATTTACGAGCGCGGTAGGATAATGTGACTTTATTTCAGTTTTTGTCCATTTTTCGGCGGTATTTCGCCGCCGTTCGCTCGCCATACGAGCTTTTTCATCGTGACTTTTATGAGTGTGAATGAATAGATTTTAAAATAGAAAGGGAATTAACTTCTCCTTTTTTTCTTCCTTTCTCTTTTCGGTTTTATTAGAAAACCATATTTTTTTTGTTGCGGATAGAACAAAAATTTCAACGTTCATTGTTTTCGTAACTCGATCATTCTTGATTTGATGGGAAGACAAAAAAGAATAATTAGGGCTAATTTCGTTAACTATGACTCCGATCCTCTTTTGTATGCAAAATTGCGATGTAGTATAATTTGATGATTATAATTTTTTGTAATAGGAAAGAAAAGCTGCAACATCTGTTGAAATGTAAACCTCCATACTATCACAGCACAGCAAAATCAAAGTAATCCTCGAAAAAGTAGTAAAAACTATTTGTCTGCCAAAAATCAGACGAACCATGTAACCGGTTTGAAATGTTAGATAACGTCTAAATAAGCGTCATCTTTCACCTCAATCGAGAGGAAAATTGACGAGAGAGAGAGAGGGGGGGGGGAGTTTTATTCGCCTCTCTGTCGCGAGAGAATCGAGCAATCAACAAACGCTCGGACGACAATGCGAACAAGCAGCAGTAGCTGCGACAGTAGCTGCTGCAGTAGTAGTTGCGACAGGGCGTCCCGTACTACTGGCAGACCGCCAAACGCGATTAAGTCGCCTTTACTCCCGGAAGAAAAGAGGAAAGCACACTCCCAGAGACAGTCCAAGCGTTCGCTTTGCCTCTCGACCTTTACCTCGCGCGCGGCTCGGCAATTCTGAAGTGAGCACGGCAGGCTGTCCGCCCCGCGTTTGGAGCGCGTCCAACGCCTTGCATATTGGCCGATTTACGAATAGCTCATCCGAATGGCCATCGCACGGAGCCTTTGGCTCTTCACATCCGAGAGTCGCAAAAAGGCTTACTGTATGCACCGATAGCTCCAAACGCCTTTTATTCCATTTTCTTTTTCTTTTCTCGCGTGCAGATGTTATCGTGCTACGGTTATTTTCGTGCCACACGTGCACGGCGATCCAAAGTCAAATTTTGGCTTTCCAATGTGCATATTAACGTTAGATTGCGGCGAATGAGCTTCTGCACAATACGCTTTTCCGCAAAAGGG